TCTTACATAAAATCGATTGAAACCTCTCAGATGTTTTAGTAAATGTAAATATCGAAATATTTTCTATGCATTACATTGAATAGAAGTGATGGATCAATAGTAATATATATATCTCAGAATTATACGTCGTAAAATGGAACAAAATCAAAATTTTAATAAATAACAAAAGTTATTGAACTATACAATGTCATGATGTACTGAACTCAAATTAGGTACAATAAAAACCTATGTACTTAGGAACCATTCATAATGGACTTCAAGATAAAAATTGTATTTATGGACGTCTATCCGTTTCTGTCCAGTTTCATCGACTGCTTCTCGGATGTTTAGTATAAAAGAAAAACGATTGTTTAGAAAGATCCTCTTGATTTCCACATACCACTTGATTTTGATTAACTGAATAGAAGTGAAAACACATTTCATAAAAAACAGATAAAAATCTTAACTATTGTAAAGTTTATCGAGAATCTATTAATGTTAATATTACTTGTGGAGAGCATGATTATCTACCTATATAACAATTACTTGTTTTGATTTCTACCGTTTAAGCACATTTTGGATTCCTAAGAAGATTTCTGTAAGACTAGAAAAATCCTATAAGTATTCATGTCATGTGCATGGTTCTCAAGAGTTGAGTTATGACTATTTGATCGAGTTCCACGATCAGGTCTTATATTTCTACCAGAAAAGCAAATAATAGAATTTCAATCCGAAATTTTGCCCACATATAGATCTAATGACTTTGAGAGTATCATTAAATTCTCATGTGAAAATAATGTTCCTTTGTTGAAATAATGCATTTTCAAGGTGAATGACTCTTTTTTTGGAAAATTTCCTACCTAGCTCGATCAAAATGGAATACAGTTACAGTCCGTTTTTCGTCAGTGAACGATGTAAAAAAAACGACTACTTAACAGGTATATGTTGCTCATATTTTCTCATAATAGTTGACGCAGTAATACGACACCGCATATAGCACGACTTTTTAGCCGTATATAGTCTCGTCCAATAAAAAGTGAGATGGAAATTGAATTTTTCGACGTCAGATACAGATGCTGTAATCGTGTATTATTCTGCTATTTAATCTCAATACTTTTCTTCGGAAACAGTTGCCAATTTTTTTTCAGATCACGATTCTTAATATTAACTTGCTGAAGGCATTTTCGCATAGATAATAATGAATAGTTGGTACGGAAGTAAAATTATAATTATAATAATGCACTTCGAAGAGAACAGTATGCATGTAAATGATTTTCGTCTTTATTCTAGATAAGCTGGAATGGCTTTGGAAGAAGGCAAACCGTTCATCACATCAACATCTGAAATACATTAGTATGTTTCTTTTTACGAAATTTCTTTGTACTTAATAGACTTTATTGATTCTGTTAGGTAAACGAAATATAGCAAGTAAGAAAGCATTTGAAATGTACATATATACTATATCAAACATATTGTCATTTAGAGAAAAAAGTGCATTTAGTTCTTGATGCTTTGAAGAGCTTGTATCTTAATGATAATCTTCATAGCGTACAGTTCAAGGAATATCTATGTATTTGTCGTCAAATTTCTACTGCAAGCGATTATAGTTATGAAGATATTCAATAGATGACAGTCGAATCTGTTGATGTTGTGCATAATATTGAATTTTCGTCGATAACGTGTAAAGAATTAATAACATGAGAAGATCATATCATTTACTTGGCTCTTTGGTTAAAGAGTGATAAGCCACTTGATATTACACTTTTCGAACAGAAAATGTGAACATGTGCATTTCAATATTCAGGTTTCACATTGGGTTCTGTTTGTACTACTTGGTTTGAGTGTCATGAAGCAAATACTGCAGCCAATTCAAACATCTTTTCAGATTTACAAAGGTAAAATGAATTTTTCAGAAAGAAACCATTGGTTGTTTTATTTCTATTACATTTAAAACTATTGTAGATTACTGAATAATCTACCACTTCAGACATTGAACAAAATCATTCGCTGTTTGGAAACAATGTCTTACTACAGTAAATCGTTTCATACAAATGGCAACCTATCGGAATCAACACAACAATTTAATGAGTATAGAGAGAGCAATCTAAATTTTGCTTCGTAATCAATATATTTTTTTATATTTCGTGTTAGTAAATATTTCTTATGGTTATTTCATTTGCTTTCTGAATTCGACTTCAGTTTGAAATCGTCTTATGATGTATCATGAAAGAAAAAACTAGAAGAAGAAGAATTTCAAAACAACGTAGAATCTAAAGAAAAACAAGTTGCATAGTAACTGAATACATTTAAACAAGCGATTCTTTGCTAAGTTCATTTCAGACACTTAACTTGCCCAACTCTTTTTATGTTGCTCTTTTATTTGAATATTACCAACGTGACATCGAAAAGGTTCGAATAAAAAAATCGAAATTTTCTATGAAATCAATATTAGTTTTCTTGACGAAAGAAACATATAAAAAACAATATTGACTACAGCGTTCATAACTTAAGATACATTCTTTATGATATCGAATTTGTTCAACACACATTTGTTCACTTTAAAGTGTCACAGAACAAACTAACGACTCACGACATGCAACGTGTTTAAGAATTACGTGAAAATACTCTCAATCGATACTCGTATGGCATATTGTTTATCAACAATGATAAAGTAAATTGTTTTTTTTCTATCTGATGTTATTTCTTTGTATAATCTTTACAGTTTCTTGTAGTGACACATCATCATGGGAAGTACTATCGACGTGTTGTTAAAGGTCATCCAAGAATGAAAATAGATGGTACATTTGAAACAGTGTGGGGAGACAGCTGTACGAGAAATGAGCGAACAGTTGGATTATCGAAACGGCGACAATAATAGAGAAGGGCGCTCGTTTCATATCAATGAATATAAAAGTGAATGGATAGGTTCTATTTGTTTGAAATGTGCTTTTGACTACAATCGACCGATTGGCCTTTTTATAATTCGGCTTATGAAAGCTATTGAGTTTCGAAGGAAACTTTTTGAGAAAGTTCAAGTAAGTAATATAAATAACTTATTTAGACATATTCAACGACATAACTCTTGAATGTATAGAACCAATGCGAGTGGATCTCCTTTGAAAAACAACTAAATCAAGACCATTTTTATACGATCTATCCATTTATCGAGTAATTCTACATCTAGCTATGATCAACGCAAACTGAATTCTTTGATCCTTGTAGATACTTAAAATCAAATTCCCATTTGCTCTTCGATGGCCAAAACTAAGTTTGACTAGTGGAACTGCAACATAATATTCAAAATGTGACTCTATTTCCATTCATAAATTTCTTTTTTCATATCAATATAATATTTATTTTAATCACGAGAAAAAAGTCTCCCATATATTACATACTGAAACGATCAGCTCCAATGTTTCATCTAATATACAGAGTTAGAATGAAGTTTGTTAGAGCTGCACTTTCGGACTCATAAGATCATGACTAATAATGTTGAATTTGTTGTTCTAACGGCTGCTATTTTTACGGTGTCAGCAGTTCGGTAGATGGTTGTAGGGTGTGGATAATAGTGTGTGTAAAGAGAAGAAACACTCCCACTTCTAGCCATACCCTAACAGTTGAACAAGAATCTATGCAGAAGATGACCAAACAGCAACCAAATGAGCACCATTGACGTTCTCTACTGAAGGCCATCAATAATTGAGAAGAAACATCGATTACTAAGATTAACACAAACTAACTCAGATATTCTGGGTCAAGTTTGAGATGACAATACTAAGAAGACTACTAAAATTACGATGGTACATAGCTGAACGTATGAACAAATGAGTGACCATGATCTCAAGGATAGCCTATATCGAGACGACTTGGATAAAATTAAAGAAAAAACTTGAGAAATTGAAAGAAAGTTTTGTCACAATGTCGCCGTTGATCAATCGCTTTTTAGGAATGATGATATTCATAGATGCATCCTTTGGCACGGAATAAGGCGAAATTATCGAGGCATTTGCTACTATCAGAATTGATATTCATGAAGTAGTGATAAACATCGAACAAATAAATGATAAATGGATGTTTTTCATGATCACTTACTTACAGCCACTTTCGAGTTCTATTTTTTATAAACTCTATTGACACATGTCACTGCACATATCAAATAAATCTTCCTACCTTTGATTGTTGCTTCAGTTTGTCATTGGCAGATTATTACTTTTTCGTCGTTATAAAAATGTTATTTGAGACTATCAGACTCTGCAGTAATTCACGTTTTCTAAATAATATATAATGTAAAACTAAATAACCTCTCTGTACATATGTTGACGCTTCTAACTATCAGATACTCCAATGATTCTTATACTAGCATCATCAGTTGAAAAGAACTTAAATAAGGTACACAGCTTATAGAGCCAGGGTTCTAGTTTATTCTACATTGACAGACTAAGAATGCAGAGATATAAGAGTGAATTGTTCAAAGAAATATATGTCTATTGCTTTTGACCTTCAACAGGAGTCTCATCTGCATTGAGTTCAACAAATGGAGCCTCGATTTCCAGTTGCCCATCTTGTGTCAAATGCGATTGAAGTTGTTTGGCTTGTGTGCCTGGTGGCAATTTCACCGTCTGAAAGAAGAACGATCGCTCAGAATGATTCGACTTCCTGGGTCTGTGTTCGGATTGTACGATCAAATTGTTGTTCTTGACAGACAATTTGATTTGGTCAGGATGATAGTCTAACATGGGCATGGTGAGTTGCAATTGTTTCTGGCCATTGGTGTCGACGATATGTGGCTTGAAGGGACCACCGAGAAAGGCAGCATAATCAAACAGAGGATCGCGATGTTCACCGAACTGAGCCAGATTCTGTTCACCACTCTTGGCTTCGGCCAACTGTCGTTCTTTTTCAGGATTTCGAATCGGTACTTCGATGACCAGTATGCCGTGCGGAGTGACGAACGAGGCCACATGACTCGCATCTAATAAAAAGAGAATGGGCACTCGAAATCGATTAATTTATCAACGGAGCTACATACCAGCATGTTCGGGTAACTCGTAGGTTTTGCGCAGTTCTTGAATGTGGAAGTCCCCATCAGACTCTCGATCTTCTTGTTTAGCTTCTACAATTACTTTTCGATCTTCAACATGTGTTTTGATCGATGTTGGATCGAAGCCAGCCACGTTCAATTGCACACGAAATTTCTCCGATTGACCGGCATGTTTGTAATGTTGATTTGCACCACTGCGACTCGATGTGCGACTAAGACGTCGTGGTTGGTTAATCCACCGGAATGATTCAGGCATGTTATCCGATTCTTCTGACACAGACTCGAAGTCACACCAAGGATCGAAGAGATGCAGTTGATCACCAAAGAAACGATCTGAGGGATCGGTAGATCCTCGATAGTGATCGATTGGAAAAAATGACATGATTGTCAAAAGTTGTGCGAGTAGAGATGTTAGAAAGAAAAAATTGCTTGCTAATGTTTATTTTAAAACTGTATGCTCGATTTGAGTACACACACACACACACTCCTTTTATAGAAGCCGAGCAACGTTAGTTGATGTGAAGCCTGTAACTTCGCGACGTTTCGAGAAATTTCTATTGCAGTCGGTTTGCTTTTTTTCTCATTCTTCCTTTCTTCATCTTCCTTGGTATACGCCAGTGTCTGTAGAATGTTTTTCTTCTATCCTAGACAACAGAGAGACAAAGAACATTAGAGTCGCCAACGCCTATTTATCAACACAACGTTGCGAACGACGTATAAATGTGAGGCAATACAGAAAAAAAAGCTATATCCACACGAATTCCCTTAATTTATATGTGAATGCGATAAATAGATATATCAATAGATCCATTATCTCATCGAATGAACTTGAGTTAAGCAACGATAACTATGAAACATGACTTTATCTCAAGATCGGCAACAAGTGTATTGATTCTAGTTGAGCCATGCTTTTACTGATGCTTCTTTTTAATGTATTTTAACATTATTTGCAGATCTTATTCTTAATGCTCGTCTTGTATAAGACAACATGTAATAACTTGTTGTATTTTTAGCCTTTCTTTTTTTTTTGAAGGTAAAGTAGTGAAGAGAATCGTTGCAACAAGATAAGACAGAATATTAATATTTCATGTCGACACTCGAAAGCTAAAACTAAAGTGCAGCTGTCAAGAAGAAGAAATTTATAGACAGCAATAGCGTAGTCACTGCTAAGGAGCAAGAGCGAATAAGCAAAATTTTTGCTTTACCAAGGACGCGATTAACCGATTTTTGCACATCGCAACTAGTTTTTGCTCAAAACTCGAAAAATCTTGACTATATCATTGCTTTACAGTAGCGTACATATCAATGGTGAATCTACATGAATGTCTTGAAAAAATAATATTCGTAATACAAGAAAAAACTCATGCATCAAATCAGTTGATTGTCATAGTCGCATCAATAGGAAGAGAGAAGTTGGTTTTTACCATGTTAAAAACAAACACAATAATATGACTTACGCAATAACTTCATCGACGCAATACACAAGTCATTCTCTTCCTTTCTCTTTGTTTATTTTGTCTCAAAACGTCACATCACATGTTAACTCGGAAGTTTATATAGTCAGTTTCTTTACATTAATGTTACTTCACACAAACGCGTTCGTCAGGATGTGGGCACAGCCTTTTTTGTCTTATACTACACCAACACTCGCACATAATTATACTAGCATCTATAAACTCATGTCCAAAACGAAAAATTCATTATAGTAACCGAATTAGGATTGAATAATGTCACAAATTATACAATCCACTTGGAAATATTATCTCACATAAATCTGTGAGACTGTTTCGCGATCTAGCGCACACCCATCCAAGGTGGCGCAATTCTTTTGGGAGTACATGTTGCACCATCTCATAGTTCGAAACAGACGGAAAAAGCACCGAAAGCTATAAAATAAAAATAACAACGTCTGTTGCATTAAGTGCCAGATTTATTTAATTTCATGTCAAAACAAATCTTTTCTTTTCGATGAATTAAGACGAAAGATAATTGGAGTAGGGACGTAGCATGTAATACCTCACTGTATGAAGTACTGAATTATGTTTCTGCGAAAAATCTCAACATATTCTGCATTACACACACGACCGTAATATTCTATTTTTCTTCTTTCAACTATCAATCACTAGGATCTCTTAGCCTTTCTGTTAAAGTTATGAACTTATGAACTGAATGATCTCTTGTCTATATATTACAAGTAACTTATTATTCTTTGCTCTGTTATTATTCTTACGACAACATTTTCCTATCCTTTATTTGACCGGTTTCCTATACATATAAAAATTTGGATTCAATAATCAATGTATCAATGAAATAATCTTTATTGTAAAATTTCTAACGTTATTATAACTTACATAGACATAAAAATTAATATTTCTTCAGATAACTTTCAGACAGTATTGTGGCTAACAGCTAATGTGTATGAAAAGTATTGTTTAATCTAAGAAATAACTTGAAAAACCTTTTTTTGTTGTATTTGTAAATGGCTTCAAACATTTTTTACAGTAAAAGTCAAAGCCGTCTAACAAATATGATTACTGTACGATTAAAAAAAGTGGGAAATGGTTTGAAATAGGCTATTATCGAAATGTAGCTATTTCATGAAGAGATAAATAATATAACATTTTTTTATCATTAATCTTGTAATACGAAAAATTTTCATAAAAAAATAAAATTTAATCAGTGCAATCAATACTGAGAATTAAACCAAAATTTGTCTTGAAGTAAAATTTTATTTTCAATGAAAAAAAAGTTCTTGTTTTTCTTTAAAATAATTTGAGAAAAAGTTGAATTATGAGTATATAATAAAGAACATGCTCAACGTTTAGAAAATAATTTTAAAGAATCTGCATTTCTTATTAGTGAAAAATGTGTTAATCTGGCGACAAGACATCGTTATATTATATGGATGATTGAACATACGTTAAGAGATTATTATTTTAATGCTAATTCAAATCGAAATGCCAAACAACCAGTTGAAATAATCCTTTGAAGTCTTGTAAATTTATGAAAGAATTTTATTTAGACACTTGTTATTCGTCAAGCGAAACACGCACAGATGCGTGTACGATTAATACTACCAGGTATCAAAACAAGTCATTGTTTTGTGTATTGTTTTAATACCACCAAGCTTGTTTTTCTAGCTAAAGATGCGAAAAAATTCAAAGAAAAGTTAATGTTATTATCAGCAGCACCACATATTAATAGTGAAGTATTTCTTGGTTCAAAGTTCTTTTATTCGTTGAAACGAGCAATGTTTGAAGTATAACTTTTATGCTATCAGTGGTTTGTTAAGAAAGATCTGATCTTTTAACAAAGTATTTTACGAAAAACTTTAAACATATACACAGAGTGTTCTAAAAGTCACACTATACTTAGTGATATAGGACAGCACTAATTGTAGTGTGACTGTTAGAACACCCTGTATTTATAAAATGCGGTTTTTTTTATATTGAAGACTGCTTTGTTAAATGTCAATCGAGATGTCTTTTTAAATTATAACACGTCCTAGAATACCTAAATTTTTCAAAAAGAGCCAAGCTGAAAGTACAATAATGTAAGAAATAAGACTTAATGGATTAACAATAATGCATAGTTACTTAGGTTCTTATGCAAAGTTGATTCTGTTATTAATTACTTTTGTAAATCTAATCATCAGCTGGATTTGTATGTTATATTGCTCACTTTTCAGTGTTCACCAGAAGCTGTTTGCTCATAAATTTCTAGCTCAGTTAATATAAAAACCATAGTGAAAATTTTATGAGATAATTAATTGAAGTTTTTTTGTAAGAAAATTTTTATTTTATTGCTTTGTGAAGTGTCAACAGCAAGAAAGTTTTTGGACATGATCCGATAGAGATGTAGCTTCAAACTCACAAAAAAATACTTTTTATCTTTTGTGAATCATTTGTTCAGGTCGAAAAAATTCAAGAACTGAGACGAAATAAGTGTTTGCAAAAAGTCTCATCCTTTCCAGTTTATGTAAAATCTTCAATTCCATTCTCTTATTCAGCTTCTTCAACTAATGGTTTCGAAATTCAGCAATTAAAAATTCATTGAGAATATTTTCATGCAATCGAATTTCAGTATATGTGTATTTAACCGTAACCGCGCGCATAACCAAATGCCATTTCCTATTTCTGAACGATCGAATGGTACTGGAAAAAAATTTTTTTACTCGTTTTAAGGTTCCTTCTCTTTTCTGTTACATCGCTTCGTTTATGAATAAAGATGGCACATGATGTGTCTTCAGTGTGGTAGATTGATTGTGCAGAGATAACTCAAACCCGTATCCACACGCACGTCCTCGTCATCATAACGTGTATTTCATCGAAGTTGACTACCTACTTTTTCAATAGAATTGTAACAAACAACCTTCTCGCTGTTTCTGTAGCTCACGAAACTCTTCCCGTTCTTCTGTATTATTCACCATGAGAACATTGCAGAATGTAAGAAGAACATGTGGTTTGAATTCATTGCGTAAGAATGACGTCATTGCCTGTAAGCGATTGTGTACATGTAGATTGTATGCATCATTGCCTGATGCCGGTAACGAATGTGTAAAGACAAGAAAAGTATCGTGCGCAACAAATCTATCTAGAAAATAGTTTATTACAGCTTACAAACGCATGGCTGATTTAAACGAATCCGAACAATCGCTACCACTAGAATTTCCTTATATCGGTGATATATCTCAATATGAACGTATCGAGAAGATTGGTCAGGGGACATACGGTGAGATATTTAAAGCACGATGTCAGAAGACAAATGAATTTGTTGCAATAAAATTGATCTTAATGAATCAAGAAGAAGAAGGTTTTCCCATTACAGCATTACGTGAAATTAAAATTTTGCAAGGTCTTCGACACAATAATATTGTGCGACTGATTGAAATGTGTCGATCAGCAGTAGGAAACTCATTGCGAAGTAAATTTTATTTCGTATTCGAATTTTGTGATCATGATCTGGCCGGTATTTTGCGCAACGTACATTTGAAATTCACATTGGGACACATCAAGTCTATTATGCAACAATTACTCAATGCTCTTTATTTTATACATACAAATGATATAATTCATCGAGATATTAAACCAGCCAATATCTTGATTACATGTAATGGTGTACTTAAATTGGCTGATTTTGGTCTATCGAAATTAATTACTCCACCAAAACCCAATCAACAAAATCGACATACATATCGAGTGGTCACAATGTGGTATCGTCCTCCTGAATTATTATTAGGTGAACGAGACTACGGTCCAGCTATTGATATGTGGGGTGTAGGTTGTATCTTTGCTGAAATGTGGGTTCGTTATCCAATTATGCAAGGAAAGACTGAACAACATCAACTTCAATTAATTTCAAGTCTATGCGGCAGTATTGAACCGAATGTTTGGCCCGGTGTTGATTCATTACCACTCTATAATAATATTAAGTTACCAGACAGTGAACATCGAAAAGTTTATGATCGAATGAAACCTTATATTCAAGAACCATTAGCACTTAATCTAATTGATCGATTACTTACACTTGATCCTAAACAACGAATTGATGCTAACAACGCTCTTGATTCTGATTTCTTTTATTCTGAACCACCTGTAGCTGATTTGAAAGAACTTTTATCAAAATATCATTCAATGTTCGATTTAAAACAAACATTACGCAACACAAATCATCAACAATCAAAGTTTCCTAATGTACCATATGAAGCAATTTATTAGGCGAGAAAAGAAAAACAAAATGAATGTGTTGTTTATTTTTCTGTCTTTATTTGTTTGTTGCTTTGAACAATCAAAAAAGAGGGCATGTAAATACACAAACCAATCAACAAAAAATCGATCGATCAATTGATGAAATATTTTTGTTGCTAAACAAAAGCAATATTCATACTAATCTATGACACGCGTGAAATGCTATCGAAACAAACAAATGGAATTAATTATTTTGCCACTTAATTAATTAAGTTTTAGAATGATGGAAGATGTAAAAAAAGAAAAAGCCTTTAATAATATACATATCACAATCAATATTCACTATAAGCTCATGGCAATATTGGCGTACGAGATCAACATCTTTCTAACAAACTAAATGACAAATAGTGTATAATATCTTCATGGAACATCTATGCATTGTCATTCTTCAAGCGAATGTATAGAGGATCCATTGAGACAGGATCATGGTCGAACGTAAATGTATGACTTGTTCGATATCACTTCTCGACGTTTTGGCTTACAAGTGAACGTTTCCGCGTATTCGTTTGTTTTTGAATAAAGACAATATGCATCATGCCCATCTTAGTGTACCATGCATATTCTAAAACGAATCCATCAGTTTAGTTGGTTTCTGGTGATCTATCAAACCTTTATTGTATTTTTAGTGAAATCACCATGATATACCTCAGATAATCAGAAAATCCATTTTGGTTGAAACCTTTATTTAACGGTACCGCCCCCACTTCAAGACGTCGATTTTTCTAAGAAAACTCGATTCTCCAAAAGTTACATGTTTTTGTAGTCCTACGTGTCCTCTTTCAGAATATGTGTAAATTATAGATGAACGAAACATATTTAACCCTAGTACCACCAGCCTATTTTAAGCACTATACTGACAAAATACGTTTTCATAAAGTGATTCTTTTACTCTTGCATTCATGTCCTGAGCAGATGGAGGGAGGGGGCAGCAAGTCCCCCTACCCCAATAAGAGTGAGATGTGGGTGTGGGTGTGTCTTTTATGCCCACACCCACACCCACCTTACTGTACTCCTCTGCTTCGTGATGCTTCGTCGTACTTTAATTTAATGTAACGCTTCAGACTTTTAGATGCAACTTCATATATCTTGATCGTTCTCTGTATTTTCACACAATTCATGATAATAATGGTCGATTCTTTTGTGTATTTTAGAAATACAGAAGTATATTTTATCGTCTAAAAGTATTCAAAAAATTAGTTTTGTCTTTTATTTGAATACTTCATTAAATTGACTTTCAGATTTATAAATCTTATGAATGATAGAATCTTTTTTTTTTGAAGATTTTCGTTACTTCTCGTTTAATCTAAGAGAAAATCAATCGTAAAAAATACAAGATTATCTTCAAATGGTGTTATAGTTAATTTGTTAGTATAACTTCTTTCTATCATAGAAATCTTTTTTGTTTTCATTTTCAGACAGCAACATATTTTCGTTAGATACATGATTGATAATCATCAAGATAAACAAAGTTACAGCTGTTAACATTTGTGAAGACTCTTGTATCGAAAGAAGTGGTATGTTTGTGGATGTGATCATAGTAACGAAGATTTACAAGTAGAAAAATAACCTTCACAATCAGATCGATGTACACCGAAACATAATTATATAAAATGAAGAATTTTCAAAATAATTCTATTCTTTTTTTTTTTTTTTTGAAAACTAACTGATTTCAAAATGTGAAAAGTGAGTTTCAAGAAATTGTGCTGAATTTTTTGAATATTTTAGTATCTTATTGTTATTTCTATTTGTAAGTATTATTGAGATCACGATATTGAAGCAGAAGATTACAGCTTAGTGAAACATCAATGATGTTTTGTCATATAAACTTTATCTAAGATGATTAATAATAAGATTTTTAGAAGTTACAACTGTAGGATTATATAGATGATAAATGTTGATGAACACGTCAAGAAAAAAAAATGATCATAATATGATCGATAAAGAATATTATCTTGTTGTTCTAAGGTGTCATTTACCAGACATATTGATTGTTGCTAATCATCAGATAATTTCACAAGTATTAAACACTATCAAGTTGAATAACAAGCATGCAACGTATAAAACATTTGTTAGAATACAACTCAGAGAAGAATCAAAATGCATTGTCAATTTGATAATCAATTATACACACACAAAATACATGAATTTTATGAAAAAGATATTCATTAGTTATGGAATAAGGAAATGATGAATACAAAATCTATCATCAATAATTGAAGCAATTGAAAACATACCAACAAACTCGTAGATGAACATGCTAATCAAATTTCATCGGTCATAGCGATTGATAAAAGTCGCCAAAACTATAATGTCATGTATTTATTCATAGATTATTCTATTAATGATACTGTAAAGAATACTTTATGATTTCTTCTCCAATTTAAGTTCAATATTTTCTTCTCTAGTATCTGACCCTGTTGTTTTATAGAATCCGATCATTCTCAAAATTATTTAAATTAACACTCATTCTCCATATTTATTTACAAAGTCGAAAATGACAGAATAATTTCTAGTATGATGATAATATTCAAAAAAAAACTGTTGTAAAAACTATAAGTTAAATATCTCTTTTATGTGTTTCTGATTATTGAAATAGATCAAAACCAGCTAATACCATCCTTGTCTAGTGCCAAAACTTATCCTGGTGACTTACTTGAATCACTATCCAAACTTTTTGTTTAACTAGAGCATTGTATTTTTCATTTGAATCTTTAATAAAACAATACAATGTTTCTCTGCAGGGTATCCAGAAAGTTACGAAGCAAACACTCAAAATTGAATATCTTAACCGGGCTTCAACCAAATGAGCAGATTGTTTTTTATGAAAAACAAAAAAACAGTTGCAGATTTTTTTTCATATATGGACAGCTTATTCTTTGTTATATTCTGCATCTTTTTCATTCCTATTAATACTAAGAAAAAAGAGTAATATTTGGCTATGTTTATTCTAACAATCAAATTTTCATATTCTAAATGAATGATATAATCAAGTTTTAATTTGTTATTTTATTTTTTCATATTAATCCTATACAAAAAAAAAGACAGCTACCATCTAAATTCATATATAGAAAAAACAAATCATCTAATTTAAAAGTACATTCCAAAGAAATATTTCATTTGATGATGTTGTAATTAATAAATCATTTGATTTATTTTTTAAAAATTTAATATTTATTATAGTATCACTGTTACCAATAAAATCTTGAAATGTTTCCTGAGTATAATCTTTTAATTGTACTAAACGATCTTTTGTACCAATTGCTATTAAACGATTTTCATTTTCATCATTTTTTATATTTGATATATCAAAACATGAACACCATTGATTTAATGATATTGTACGTGTAATTTGTTTTGTATCAAGATTATAGATTTGTATAGATTTTTCTATTCCATATCCAATATACATTAATAAATTATGATCAATAAAACGAGCTAAACTTGGTGGATATGATTGCCAATTATTATTATTATTTTGTATAGTTGTACCATCTGGTGCAAATGATGGTGCTGAAAATGTTAACCAATCAATTAATTGACATAAATCAAATTGTTGATTGGATTTCCATAAACTAACACGTCGATCATGACTTGTTATTAACCACATAGAAAAATTATTTTCTAATAATTGTTTTGAATCAATCATACAAATTGGTGCATTACCACGATGTTCATTTAATACACGTAAAACAATACCTTGAACAAGATTTGATATTGCAACAGAACCATCTGATGCACCAGATAAACTTATTGTTGCTACAAATTAAAACAAAAAAAGTTAAAAGTTAATAAGAAAAAAACAGTTTTTTTTGTCTTTTGTAAACGAACTATTTAATGGAACATTAATGGAAGTAATAGATGATGTATGTGGATGTAATTTAAGTACCATTTGTCCATGAAGAAGATTAAAAATACGTAATGTACCATCATTATATCCAGCAACAATTGATCGAACAGTTGTTTGAATATTTTTTATTGGACTTGTTGTTCCTATTGAATGATTTGCTGGAACAATAGAATTATCCCATGATGTTAAACAAGTTACTTTCTGAATATAACAAAAAAAAACAGAAAAAATCAATAAATATAATTATATCAAAGATATTCCAGAAATAATCAACTCCAGCAAAAAATAATAGAAGATCTTCATCGTATTTTAACGAAAATGATTTACGTTTTTTGTTTGATGATAGAAGATAGTTTCAAATTTTGATTTATCAATCATCAGTTTATTAGATATACTTGAAATCTAGAATTATCTGATTTAGCTGAAAAGTTTGTTCATGATCATTATGGTAAATATGTTTTGTTATGTTCATCAACAATATTATAAGTTGATGAAAATCGAGAAAAGTTATCTGTAGTCATACAGATTTCTCGGAAATTTATTGTATAAGAACAAGCAAGAGAATCAGTGTAAAGCTTCAGAGAAGCCAAATAACATTTGCTATTTGAACTCATATTGGATATTCATAAGTAGATTTTCAGTGATATTATCAAAAGTCTAGAATGGTTCGTTTCCGTAGGCTTCTTTCACTGAACTATAATCATTTTACTAAATTTTCGAATCATTTGTAGGTAGTTCTCGACAAATATCAAATTATGGGATTTCGATCTATAATTTCACTTATAAGGAAAATCTAATAGTTCTTAGAATGACTGTTGAAAGAATATGGTGATCTTTTATAAAGTTTGATTCATGATTTTCGGGATCAAAAAACTCATTAATCAAACTTTGTAAAAGATCATCATATTCTTCCAACAAAGAAATCAATTCCACTAATTTTTTGATTACCATTACTTGGTAATGTAACAATAATTTCTTTCTCAAAGAAATTCGTGAAAAATTCAAGAACACGATAATTGAAATTAGAGAAGCCTAAAAACTATCGTTGATCTTTGGCAAAAAATGTCATATGTTTTTTTTTGTAACTAAATAATAATAGTTTTAAGCGATGCTATTAAACATT